ACACAAAACGGGGTATAAGTTGCAGAAAAAGTACGAGGACCGGGCAATAAAAGCTGGAAGACGCTACGAGAGGAGTTTAGTCAAACAAAGCCAGTATACTGGCGGTATTGAGAACAAGAGCGACAAACGAAAAGAATAACCGCACACGACTCACGTACCGAACAAGGCCTCTAGCCACTAGTAGAAACGTGTTAATGGTACAGCAAAATACATGGATAATCCAAATAAAGTATTTGGATTATTATTACTGTTCTACCTTGTAGGAAATCGGGCTAGATGGAATAAATTATTATTATTATTGTCATATATTTAGTGCTATTTAATTCGCTGCAGATTTAAACCAGTGCCGATCATCGTTCACCTCACCGCCGAGTATGTGAGCATCGAATGACACACGCGGGACCCTGCACAATGTGGCTCACAAATGTGTGAATGCCTAAATAAGCCGCCCTACAGATTAAACTGAAAGAAGCCATCGCGAGGGAAGCATTATAGGAAAAACGTGCCGATCTCAATTGAGAATCCAGTTCATTTGCTTGATATTGTTCAAAAACTCTAAGGGGTAAGGCGTATTCTCGGTACTGCGAGAGATCTTTCCAGCTAAGGATAGCCACACCAGCCTTGTGAAAAGTCAGTCAACAGTAGGGCGAGATGCTCAGATAAAAGGCTGCTAGCATTGATCGTAGGCAAGCGAATGCAGGCGCCCAGAGCACGCGGCTGTTCCTCGATAGTTGTAGTGATGCTCGCATCACTGCGGCGAGACCTGCCGCCGCTGTTGCTACTAGTTAACCGGCATTTGGCCGCTGGCGCAGCAAACGGGGCAAAAAGTGGCTGTGGCAGAGTCGGCGTGAGCACAGAAAACTCCGCCGCATCTACTACCCTACTATCGGCAGCAACGCGAGCAGACAGCATAGGAGTGGACCAACAACATCACCAGCCACAGGATGCTGCCATTACTGAAAGCTACCATCACCACCAGTTGGTACCAAACATCATCACCGCCAGCAGTAGGAAAGAACGAAAGCGAACGAGCTGTACCGCTCTACTGTCGCGTTGTCGTCTATTCGCAGCATCTGTGAGTGAACCAGCGTCGCTTGTTGCTAAGACGTGTGTGGCGATGATGATGATGTAGCCGCTGCTGTGTAGTTCAATAGCAGCAGGGGGCAAGCGTTTGGCTGGCCGTCAGCCAACATGGGCTAGCAGCAAAAGCAACAGTAGTCTGGGTGAAGAGGTGACTATTAGCTAATAGAGAACGACTGATTTTTCATAATACGCCTGTTGCGGCCCGGCCATCTTATACGCGGATAGAGACAACTGGGGAGGGTCCGCCTATGGGGGTGGTAATGCTGGTAAGGCACAGAGTTATAGCCTCTACGCTACCGGTGACCTCATGTCGATAACGGCATGTTCAACGGAGAGTCGGAACCAGGTGGATGAAAGAATCTGAAACCTTCTAGTGTTCGCCATTGACAGCAAGGTGTTCAAAGTAGAAAACTTTTACCTAGAGAATCAAACGCTTCCTTAGTGAAAGTGCTCATCATTTGCATAGGTACAGCGCCTTTTATCAACCCGATCTTAACTAGCGGCGCTAATTTGGGCAATGGTGTCTATTGTTAGTAGACAGGTGGTTGTTTCCTCAGACAGCCCTGTGGCAAGCCAGGGCTATTGACTGGCTTGTTCGCGCAGCCCTGCTGGTGGTTTGCTTAAATACTTATATATATATATAGGCATGAAAGTGGAGTATATATTATTCTGATATGGATTACAACTCGTGACTAAGCCCGTACAAAAGGTGCCACGGTTGCCTTCCAACTAACTGCTACTAGTTGTGATTGCCCGTCTGTCTGTCTGTGGCACCGAGAGAAGCAGCGCGTCTTGCCAATGATCGGACCGTTTCGTAGGTTCCCGCTGAACTGGCCGCTATATCACCTCATAGGCGGCGCCACTTGGTCCTGTTGACGGGTCAGGCGACGAACCCGTCTGGTTCCATCGCTCCCGATCGGGATCTCCCGCTAGAGTACACTTTTCCTACGTGGTTTATCGAGGGCTTCGCCTCTTTACCGCCGTGATCGACGCTAGCGACGGGAGAATAGCCAGCGACTCCGGAACCGAACAACTGACAGGCTGACCAATTTACCTACCTACCTACCTAATCTATCTACTGTATATGACGTCCTCCCATCCGGCGCACGACAACCGCTTTGGCTGACTCTGTTGTTGGTATAAAAGCCGATTTGTAGAATCTGCAGTCGGGCTGTGCCGGCAGCGGTGAACGGGTTAAACGAGTGAAGTGGATCGAGTCGAGCGCTCGACAGGGAAACAAACGGACGAATCAGTTATGGGGCCTCCTGAAGTCGTCGCCAAAGTTGGGGCAAAAGAGCCTGACAGCGGTCGCTGCCATCGGCGACGGCAACAGCAAAGTCAGAGATGGTTAAATGGCTCCGACAGATGGCCCATAATTTCTCGTAAGACGAGCGAATCAAGGACCACGCTGCCAATGACAACAGCAACTGCTGCTGTTACTCTAACCGCTCCTGTCATCGCCGTCAACGAAAACGACGCTGTCGGCAGCAGAAATCGTGAAGAAGTTAACATGCCTGCCGCTGCTGTCCCTAGTGGCGTATATTTACCACTTCAACACTGAAAATGATAAAATAATGCGAGAAGGCCGAAACAAAGCAAAGCTGGAATTGCTCATTTTACACATGCAGAAATCTCTGATCAACAATTGTCTTGTACTAATCAGAACATGAGTGTCAGCGCATCGAGCACATGACAGACCCTCGTAAAATTATAAGAGCTGCAAAAAGTTAGCAAGATATGAAATAAACGCGTATAGGTACTATGTAGTGTATTGTGTGGCGACCTAGTGCACGTATCATTCTTTGTTCTCTCTCGATAACACTGTCCTGTAGTCCTCGTTCCGTTTATCCGGCCGTCAGTCCCTCGATCCGCCAGTATTATTGCAGTGAACTCGATGACGGCTGGCAGAACGAACTTAGGTCGCGTCAACATTGCCATTTTTAGTGCGGCCAGCGCTGTGGCTGTAGCAGTGGTTATGGTGGTAACGCAACAGGATGATGTTGCTAATGGTGATGTTGATTATCGACCAGTAAGGAAAAGTAGGTTAGCGGGCGGGCGGTCAGTACACCACGGACTAGCCTATTACCTCACGCTGTGATGTATTCCAAATCATAAGGCCGTATCAATACTGATCGTAGTAATAACAGCACACTCATTGTAAGATTAAAACTAGCCAAAAAAATGAGCGCACAAAATCTGTATCTTTAACAATAATTGATATTTAATAAACTTGGAAGACGTATAGTGCTTCTCGATTCCAGGTAAAACTACCAGAATTAGCCAATATCTAGCCCACGCATTTATCTCTCTTTGTTGTACCTTAATATGTGCCAGGTAATCTGTACTACTTTGTTTCAGACAACTTCCGCATTGCTAATTCTATTTCATCGTCATTTAAAGCGTGCTTGCGTAATCGTTAACGCGTGGCTCGCCAGTGGCTCTGATGTCCAAATGTGGGGCTCTTTTTTTCAGAAACATAGCATATATGTGTGAGGCAATACTCATTGAAGTTTTAACTTACAGGCTTGAAACGCATCTTCTGTAAATGGAACATAATGCATCTGCTTAGCTTACTTTGAATAAATAAGCTGATGATTAGAGCAGTTCCTGCTGCCGCTGCTGCTGCTGCTGCTGCTGCTGCTGCTGCTGCTGTTGTTGCTGCTGCTGCTGTTGTTGCCGCTGCTGTTGCTGCTGCTGTTGTTTCTACTACTACTACTATTATGTATTGTTGAGCCATATCGCAATTAATGGTTTGCTGTTCTGTTGGGTCGTGTCATCTTCTATTGCCAATAAATCGAGACCAGGGTGACAAGCAGCACATGAACTCGGTATGACGATCCGAAGTAAACTCATGTTGTGGTTCAGTGATGGTAACACTGCTAAATAATCCATGGCGGAGAGAAATGCAAAAAAAATATTGAAAAGTTATTTCAATCGAGCAATCATACAAATGGCCGAGATGAATTATTAGGATCTAGTCTAGTCTCCTGTAGGCAGCGGTTCCACTTGTTTTCTTTTTTAATCCTAATCAGTACTAATTAGGACAATTTTGATTATTTTCAGCCAAACCGGACATAAGTTATAGTAACCGAAGCACTGATTGGAATTGGCTCGTTACTTAGTTTCGATGTGTCCACACGAATATTATCCATACTCCAGTTTATTTATCAGTAGATTTTTGAAATCGTCCTGAATTGTATGGCTCTAGCTGGCGCAACAAGTAATCCTGTCGAAATGGTTTTATCCTTATCTCAACTATACTGAGTACCAAGGCTAATCCTGTGCTCAGGCATAAGTGCAAGCCCTGTCAGCAGGCGAACGGAGGAAACTTGCTTAATATTGGCTAATTTGTAGGCCCTACTACTTTTGGTCAATTTGATTTTGCATCGACCGTGGCGGATATCCGAAATGGTCGCCACTCATAAATGCGAACCCGCTGCTCAGATTAACACACCCCCGCGCGTTCCTGTATTGCCATAATGGGGCATCTCCTTAAACTGTGCCGCTGCCAACCCCTAAAGCAGTGGGGTCAGTTTAGCGTTTGCTGCGGTGGGCAACGCGTTTTATCAGCTGCTCTCGTGGGGAGAAAAGGCTATAGTGCTTACGATACGCTTGGAATTACACCTACTGTCGGACTCTTCGTCATAAGCGGGGCTGAAAGTGTGCGCAGAGGACCCTCTGTAGTTTGTAATCCGACAGGTATATGCAGAACATGGGTTAGCCAAGCAGGTCACTACCATTGGTAATCGAAGCCACATCGCTCCTAACAAAAAGGTTTCAACCTCTAGTAGACTGATTGGAGAAGATGTTCATGCGATGTAATGTGTTAAAGATGAAAGCCATATCGCTCGTGTGATGGAGGTGCGCGACTGCGCGATTGTCAGCGGGTTGATTAGTTAGTCCGGCAGTGCGCTTACCTTGCGAGGCTGACGCGGTGCTCGAGTTGGTCTTCTCAGAATCACAACTGGCGCCGTTTTTTAACGTGAGCGTCGTCGTTGTCGTCGGAGCAGTCGTGGTGCTAGTAGTATTCGTTGTTGACTTTTGTTGGTCCTGTCTTCCGAGGCTATTATTTTGATTAGTACTGCTATTATTGGTGTGGGGGGGGGGCATAAGGGAATCGGGCGAGTTGGCCTGCTCGCCCCCGGCCACAGCCAGCATAGTCCGCACTCCAGTCGGGTTCACTCACTACTTGCACGCGCACAGAGCTTTCACGTTAGACGAGCGAACTAATATACGTAGCAGTGCAAACTTCTGTCGATGAATTAAATTTGCACGACTTTTACCACAAAGCACTACACATCTGACAACACAAGTATATGCGAGCCGTGAGGACTGGATTACCACTTAACACACTCAAGATAGCCGTCGCACAGTCACTTCGCACAGTTTCGCGTTATCGTCGCGCTACTGTAGTATAACTGTTGGAACCCGCTGCAGTTATAGTAGTGTTCACAGAAATCGCCGGCGTGAAGGATGATCGCCGCAGCTGTTGGCGCCGTCGTCACTGCCGTCAGAATCTTCCAGACCCGCAGTCTCGACTCCTCGTCGAGGAATCGACGGACATTTGTCGGACGGATCCCTCGAGAGAGAGCGCTACATGGACGCCTGGTTGGACAGTCTGCTATCGTTTTCTGGCTCCTGCTGCCGCTATTCAACAACTATCGCAGTGGTAGCAGTACTGCTAGCGTTACTGCTGCTGCCTTTGGAGCCGCTTCGTCCTTCGAAGCTGCTTCTATCGCTGGTTGTTGGTTGTCGTTGTAGCTGCGCTGTGTCGAGCACCGCGCCAGAAGGCGGCCGCGATAGCTTGTTGCCGGATGATTCTGTCGTTGTTGTTGTGACTATTGCTCGCCGTAACGCTATCACTAGTAAGCAGTGTCACTGCTTTTGTTGCTACCTCTGCTCATAATGGTAGCTGTTGTTGACGTCGCCGTTGTTGCTATTGTTGTTGTCGACGAAATGTTGGCGCTATTCCTGTTGTTGTTGCTATTACGACTGGCGAGGCCGCGACAACGGCGGGTACAACACAACAGCCCACGGGGCAAGCGTTGAAAAGGGCCGCGACGGCAATGGCACGCACCGTACCACATGCAGCAAAACAAAACACAGCACAGCAGCACGGACGATCGACTCAACGACACAGTACGGCACAGACGGACCGGAAAAGAGAAAGAAAGATATACAGCGGTGGTTTCGGCGGACGATGGCGCAGTCTCGAAGACGGCCCCGGTCAGCAGCCACGCTGAGCGACCGAGCCTGCCAGTCAGCCCTCAAAGTAGGTCACTGGGCTGGGGCGCGCGGGCAGACAGGCAGCAGTGGTAGCAGGCCCGGCTGCGCCGGGGGCTGCGACGGGCTGACAGGTGGGGGTCGGACAGGCAGGCGGTGGTCCGTGGGTTGGCCCCTAGTCTACCGAGTGAGAGCAGTCCAGCCTAAATCTAGGGGGAAAGGGGAGGGGTCGAGGCAGGGGGGAGTGGATGGACCACGAAAGGGGCAGGCGGCTAGCCTATGATCGCCTCTACTGCAGTTGCTAGGGCCAATGGCGGTAGCCACAAGAAAAACATTTGCAACCGATGCCAGTACTGATACCGCCACTGCCACTGGATGCAATCAGACACAGACACTCACTGCTAAATAAATGTTTCGAGTTTTACGTCCGGCACTGCCGTTAAGCAGACACTCACTACTACGTTTGCTACAGCAGAGTCATAGGGCGACCGATACGCAGACAAATAGACAATGGTAACTCTTCGTATCTCGTTTGCCTCCTGCTGCTGCTGCTGCTACTGCTGCTGCTGCTGCTGCTGCTGCTGCTGCTGCTGCTGCTGCTGCTGCTGCTGCTGCTGCCTTCTAAGTGGCGACTGGCTGACCAACTGGCAACCAGCCGCTCGCTTGCCTCTTTAGCTGGCTGATGTTGTTAGTGTGCTCCGACTGCTGCTGGTGCTCACAGTTGTTGTTGTAGCCGTCGTAGTCGTTGCTGATAATGGTAGTGCTCGTGGTCGTTGTCGTCGTGATGGTGGCGATGTTTCTTTAGTAGCAGCAGCGGCGGCGGCGGCGGCGGCGTTGCGCTCGCTGGCGCTCGGCTGGTGTTTCTCGCGCTATTCGCTGACCGTGTGCTACCACTGTCGCTGCTGCTGCCACCACAACTAGCGCGCCGTGGGTCACATGGCCGCTCCGTAAGCAGCGTGCCTGCCCTCTCCGCTACCACTCGCTCCGCTAGGTCCGGCGGGTTGCCCCGCGCCGGCCAACTTTGAAACGGGCCCCGCATTATTTTGCCCCTACTAAATGAAATTCTCCGTGCAAGTTCTCCAGTTCACAGCTCTCCGGTTATTTCTCAGGTTATATTTAGCCGCACTAAAAATCCAGTATTGACCCCCCCCCCCCCCGTACAGCACGAATGGTGTATATATTGCATATAAAAATATGAAAATGGTCCTACATTGACTTTCTAAAAGCTGCCTTTGGCAACATTCATCTACTGTTCGGCTGCGTATGACGTAAAGAGTGTCAAGAATGAAATGAAGGAGCAATTCGCGCGAGCTATGACGACAGGTCGGAAACTCCACGCCAAATAAAGACTCCAAGACGTCGCCAGAGAACGCTCGTGGTAGCGCAATGGGTACGCTATATGCCCGTAAAATTAGAGACATGTAATGATTTAGGTTCAAATCTAGGTAGGCACAATTTGTTTTCAGCTGAGGGTCAACCACCTGAAGGAATACTAACAGCTTGAAAACTGGATTTGAAACCCGAAAAAAAAAATAGAGACGTCTCCACAGGATTTTTCACCCGTTTATTGTTATCTCTACTATTTCTTTAGCTTCTCTTTAGTTTTGAATAGTCATACTGTTAAATAGTTCTTCATTTGTTGTTCGCCATTTTTTCAGAAAATTTGGCAATTGCAATGTCAAACACGAAGTTTAGTGAAATTATGCAAAAATAGGCAAATCGGACTAGGAAAGCAGCGCATTATGGGGCCTTAGAGACCCCTAGCAGTCCTCGCCTCTCCGGCTTCAGTAGCGCCATCAGTGGATGTGAAACGAACCACTTGCGACAGGCACATCTAAAATATTTTCTGTTTCTGTTTCTGTAGGAAGAGAATTGCCCTCGTTTTCTGGCACATGTTGGCTAACTTGTTTAGATCCTGTTTAGGCTTGATGCATTCAGGTGTAAACCTAAACAGTGCATGCCTAGAGGGCCCTATACCGGCTTCGAACCGGGCTATACCACTGCGCCTAGAGCATGATGATGACGTGCGGTATTCTCCGCGACCGCTGACAGATAGTACATATATACAAGTATGTGTAGGTGTGTGTATTTGTGGTGACAATGAGAGAGAGATGGGTGTAGCACAGATCCTTGAAATAGGTTTTTTGTGCAGATTCTTATTTCCAGGCCAAGCCTATGCACCAATAATAACAAACCTATTGTGCCATCTTCGAGATGATCTGTTCACTTGTGTATACAAGTGCGATATTGTAGCCAACTTCTCCTGAAAGCCGAGTTGGACTTGCCTGAATATTAAACCTGTTTTATTATTCAACAAGCTCATCTCTATATACAGTCGTACAAGTATGTGGCTTTCTCTACATTCAAACATTGTCGAGACATAACGAATTCCTTTCTTCAGGTGCACATAGAGATCACCGGAGAATTCAGTTGATTAGGCGAACCCGTGAAGCTTTAGAGAAGTGGAGTCACTATTACAAACGTATCTAACTGTAGCGTTAATGTTATGTCACAGGTGTATTGCATAATATATTTCAGCACCCAACCAAATGATTTTAGAAAGCTAGTACCGTCGAGGCTTGATCGAGGAGGAAAGAGAGCAATGATAAGATGTAAATAATATGTTACAATGAAATCTATTGGGCAATATTTTTATAACACTACCCATAGAGTTTGTAACAGATTTATCTATAGAATACTTGTTTCATTGACTTGACTTTTTAGACTGTGCACACTGAGTAGAAACGTTTGGGGTGCTATGAATAAAGTCGTCCAAAGAAAAATATAGCTCCAAATGTATGATTCCGTAAGAGAGGTATTATAGTAAAATCTCACCTAATGAAGCTTGAGTCAATGCATATTTTCAATCATTTTCCCGAACGCGCTATTAAGCTTGTTGCGGCCTCTGTATTTTTTTGTTTGCGTTATCTGGGTCACGTCTGTTGCGGTTATCAACGCGCTTCGCTGTTAACATACAAAATCTTTGCACACTGGTTCCTGATCACGTTATCTGTCCTTGATTTGCTTGATAGCATGTCGCTATGGGTAAATCGTTATGCGACCCTTCATTAGCCCGGCGCTGACAGCTAGGTCTTCGGCTTAGACTGACTCTGTGGAACTAAAGCCATAAAGAGCTTCAGCTGCGATATTTAAAAAAGATTCCAGTTTTCATCTATCCTTATTTATTTTATCTCAAAAAGCGCAAACGTTGCTACTATTAATATATGTGTAATGCACGTGTACGTGTGAATAATATGATATCTTCAATACGTATGCAACGTGCCCACGTGCATATACGTCAAGTAAGTAATTTCTGGGCAATAAACATCCTAGTGCGAGTGTCCATCATACAAAAGAAACACTGTTCGGTATCGTTCACAAAGTCAATTAGGACGGGACGTCAGAGATGATTGATTTTGCAGATAGACCTAGATATGAATGGGTATGAAGTTTATTACCGTAGAAATATGACAAGCCGTCATACCCGAAGCCCGCAGACCTGAGCTTACTGCTCATTATATTCGTCAGATCACTACTACGTCGCTTTTTTACAGCAGAGCTGAAAGGCTGTCAATTCGTTGTTATCGAATGTCACTTACAAAAATCAAAATAGACGGGTCCAACAGCTTCACAAGCGACTAGAAACATACCTTTGTCTAGTGGGAAATTTGTTATAGAAATTAGTAAAACTGTTCGAATTATTACCATATGATTGCAAATATGTGGAAAGTTCGTGGAATCGTTTTTAAGCGTTCCTCCAGACGGCTGGCTCTTAGCCTAAACGAGACCCAGCTTCAAGCCAACGCGACCTTCTATTTTGCTTAAGCTTTGTAAAAAAGTACCTTACCAGTGTACTATCATGGGAATGTATCGGTTTATCTAAAGAGCATGTCGAAGAGGAAGCTGATAGAGCATCATTAGAGGACAACGACTTTCGGAGAAAAGAAAGAATATCAGTTGGGCGTTAAAAGCACACTGTCATTAATCTAGTTTCTATTTTTCTGAGATGGGAACCCTGACAGAACCAAAAATTGACCAGAATCCTAGAAAAGGAACTATTTACCGAAATCTTGTTTTACTAATGGTGCAATCGCTTCGAGAATCGAAGCTGAAAGATTCATGACCACAAGAAATGTCATTACATCTCTTGCGGTCATCAAACGGACAGATAACTTGCTGTAATCTCCGAAACTTTTGAGCAAAAAGACGACATCAGCAGCAGTATGCCTTTTCCCAACTTCATCTAGCACCGATTGTCAAATTCAAGTAGAAATACATGTTAGAAAAAGAGACCGAGAAGTTGCGTCGTCACAAAATGTTATCCAAGACAGATGCGACTACGCGTAACGTAGGCAATTTGCCCAGCTATTACCGGCAGTAAACCCTTTTAGGGCATACCGTGATTTTGGCGGACGCATGGATTGCTCTATACCGTCTACAAAAGAAGGATTAGGCGAGCGCATAGGGTCGCCGAATAGAAAACGCGACCGACTTCGTGACAGTTCGAAAGAGGATGGGACGTCAGCTGACGCTCATGTTTGCAGTAAACCCTAAAGCTATACGTCCTAATAGAAGATTATATATACTGCCAAATATTACCAATTCCTAAAGGGCCTATGGATGGATGATGCATCGATCGGCAGCAGACAACAAAGTCTCACTGTATTTCCAATCGCAGTTTGGACAAAGTGAACCAAACTCCTGTACGCTACAGATTTAAGCCGGTCCCTTCACCTTAAACACAGACGCGTCCAACAATCGATTTTTTCACATCACACTGTTGAAAAATATTCATTAAAAGCTTTTGGCGTTTAGCATATATCGTCGTTCTATCTTATATGGTTTGAGAGCTATTTACGTCTCTGAAGCCGCTAAATAGCTCTGGCTAACTCAGCTGAGGTAACACTTGAGCCGCTCGAATACGTATTAGTAATTCAAATTCGTAATTTTTGATAAATAAGTTTAATCGCTAGAGAGGCCCTGCTTGTGTGAGAAAAGTTACGTGCACAGACTGCAGTTTTTTCCGCTGCAACACAAACTATATATAAAAATGTGCACGTAATTCCTAAACATACTGTTATATGCACATTAAAAATGAGGAAAAATAACAGAGCAAGATATCGTGAACTCCTGACAAAAAAGATACATGGCTTTGCGCAATCGTCCGTGAAGACAACATAACCATAAACGGATAATATTCTACCCAAATTGTAGATGGTGACAACAAGAAATATTCTGCACTGTTGTTCATTGAGCTTTTTTTTTTTACAATTTTTATGCTTTCCATTCTTAGGCTAAACAATTAGTCCGCTTTCTGACAATGAACCAGTTGACACTACTACATCTCTGCTATCAATCAACGACGGGTCAGCTAATTTAACTGTAGCAGGATAAATTAAGGGTAGGAATTTTTTTTATCGTATTCCGAGCGTATCAGGTAGGTATTTTCCAAAGAAGACCTAGCGACTGCTTCGATTGCCTAGCAATCGCTTTGCCCGCAAGGTGACGACCCACTGCTG